TACCACGGCGTGAGCATGTTCGCCGTGCAGACGGCTCAGCCCGACCCCTGCTACGACGAGCACGGGCTGCCCCGCCGCTGCATCCCCGACTTCGTCAACTCGGCCTTCGGGAAGGAGGTGAAGGTGTCGAGCACCTGCGGGAAGCCGCCGTCGCGGTACTGCGTGGTGACGGAGAAGGGCGAGGAGCAGGTCCGCTCCTGCCACCTCTGCAACGCCTCCGACCCCAAACGCGCCCACCCGCCCTCCTTCCTCACCGACCTCAACAACCCGCACAACCTGACCTGCTGGCAGTCCGACAGCTACGTCCAGTACCCCCACAACGTCACCCTCACCCTCTCCCTGGGCAAGAAATTCGAGGTGACCTACGTCAGCCTGCAGTTCTGCTCGCCGCGCCCCGAGTCCATGGCCATCCACAAGTCCATGGACTACGGCAAGACCTGGGTGCCCTTCCAGTTCTACTCCACGCAGTGCCGCAAGATGTACAACAAGCCCAGCCGCGCCGCCATCACCAAGCAGAACGAGCAGGAGGCGGTCTGCACCGACTCGCACACCGACGTGCGGCCCCTCTCCGGCGGCCTGATCGCCTTCAGCACCCTGGACGGTCGCCCCACCGCCCACGACTTCGACAACTCGCCCGTGCTGCAGGACTGGGTGACGGCCACCGACATCAGGGTGACCTTCAGCCGCCTCCACACCTTCGGCGACGAGAGCGAGGATGACTCCGAGCTGGCCCGCGATTCGTACTTCTACGCCGTCTCCGACTTGCAGGTCGGCGGGCGATGCAAGTGCAACGGCCACGCGTCGCGATGCGTCCGTGATCGCGACGACAGTTTGGTGTGCGACTGCAAGCACAACACGGCCGGTCCCGAGTGCGACCGCTGCAAGCCCTTCCACTACGACCGGCCCTGGCAGAGAGCGACGGCCCGGGAGGCCAACGAGTGCGTGGGTGAGTCCCACGCCGCGGGCACGGACACGCCGGCGGACGCGGGGGGAAGGACGGGGAGAGGGGGCTGAGGTCCGCGGAAGGGCAGGGAGAGGGAGGGGAGAGCGAAGGAGCCGGCAGGGGACGGAGAGGGAAGGGCAGGGGGCACCCAGGACCCGGCAGGGAACGGGGAGTGAAAGGCACGGGGACATCCAGGACATGGCAGGGAGCGGGGGCCAAAGGCAGGGGGACATCCAGGACATGGCAGGGGATCTTCAGGGACAGGGAGCGAAAGGTATGGGGACATACAGGACCCGTCAGGGAACGGGGGCCAAAGGCAGGGGGACATCCAGGACATGGCAGGGGATCTTCAGGGACAGAGAGCAAAAGGCATGGGGACATCCAGGACCCGGCAAGGGACCATCAGGGACAGGGAGCAAAAGGCATAGGGGCACCCAGGACCCAGCAAGGGACTTTCAGGGACGGGAAGAGAAAGGCATGGGGACATCCAGGACCCGTCAGGGAACGGGGGCGAAAGGCACGAGACATCCAGGACATGGCAGGGGACTTTCAGGGACAGAGAGCGAAAGGCATGGGGACATCCAGAGACACGGGGAGCGGGACAGCGACACGCAGGGAGATGGAGAGCAGGACAGGGAGAGGACACTGAGGTACCCGGGAGCGTAGGGCAAAGGAGGGGACAGCGAGGGACCCAGGAGCGCGGAGCAGGGGACGTGAAGGCACTGGGAAGCGCAGGGGATGGGACACCGAGGCGCCCAGCAGCTTCTGGTGACAACTCCGAGGGCCCCCGAGGTGCAGAGCGGGGGGCACGGGGAGCTGGGGACCGCCGGGCAGGGGACGGCGAGGCACAGGGGTTCGGGGCAGGGGATAGCGAGAGCCCCGGGGGCGTGCGGCGGGGGACACCGGAGGCACCCGGGAGAGCAAGGCAGGGGACACGGAGGGACCCGGGAGCGCAGGACGGGGGCAGCGGGGTACTCTGGAGCGCAGAGCAGGGGACAGCAAGGAGCTCAGGAGGGGGGAGCAGGGACACTCGGGAGACCGGGAAAACACCGTTCGTCTCCGGAGAAGCGCTGAGGAGCCCTGGCTGGCTGGGAAGGGTCTCCCGTCCCGGGCAGCCCCCGGCCGGGGGTCCCGCAGCGCACGGAGCGGGGGCCGGTCCGGGGATGCCCGAGCTCGCCGGCAGCTCTGCTCCCTTCCCCGGGACACCGGCTCAGAGCCCCGCCGCAGAGCCTCCGGCTCGCCCGAGAGGCTCCGTGCCCGGACGGGACGGGGACGGGCTCCGGTCCGCCCCGGGAGAAGGCGGCCGGGCGCCGGGGAGGGCAGCTCGGCAAAGCCCGCAGCTCCGGTCGCTGCGTCTTCAGGGGGTGCGGGCGGCCTCGGGGACCTGAACGAGCCCCAAGGCCAAATGGAGAAGCGGGGAGCAGCCGGTTCGCTCCGTCTCGGGCGAGAAATCCGCGCCGTCCTGGCTGTGAGCGAGCCCCAGCCTCGGGGCTGTCCCCGAGGGGAGACGGGACGTCCCTCGCCTCTGCCCGGGGTGGCCAGGGGTGAAGGGGTTGGGGTCTCTTCCCCTTGCGTCCCCGCTCCCCCCGATCTTCCACCCCCGGCTCCCCAGCGCTGCCGGTCCCCCCCTCGCCGCCGTTTGGGGGACCGGTGCCAGCCCCTGGGATCAGCCCTGTGCCGGTGGCCGGGGGTGACCCAGCCCCGGGCTCGGCTGGGCTGGGCCGGGCTCGGCTGGGCCAGGCTCGGCTGGGCTCGGCTCTCTGCGCCGGGGACCCCCGGCCCCCCGAGCGCGTCCCCGGCAGCCGCCGCCGCCCCCTTGGTTACCAGGAAAACACATTTTTCTTTTCCTTCTCCTTTTTTTTTATCCCCCCCCAAAATCACAATCAGATGTGTCCCTTGCAGAGAGCGCAATTTCTTCGCCGGCGCCTTCAACACCGAGGCACAGCCAAGGCCGGGTTATTTGGTGGGGAGAGGGGGGGCCGGTGCTGGGGAAGGTGCGGGGGTCCCGGTTCCTGCCCTGATGCTTTGCCCCGTCCCGGAGCCTCCGGGGGTTATCTCCGGATTTGCTTTCCTTCTGTCCTGGCGGGGTCCCTCTGTCCGGCAGCGCTCGGGCATGGGAGTCCACATTGTGATTATTTCCCACCACCGGCCTCTTCCTCAGCAGCAGGTCCAGGGGAGCAGGAGGGGCTCGGCTCCCCCCAGGCCTCAGTCCCCTCTCACAGGCAGGGACAAGCTCCCTGTGTGCAGGGAGAGCGTCACCGTTATCGGTGATGCCATAAAATTTGGTGCGATCTCGGGGTGCTATCAGACCCTTGGTCTCCTCTGCAGGGTCCCAAAATGCGCCTGAAAATGCTTCTGTTCAGCTATTATGTGGGCCCCGTGCGCTTACCATCCTTCTCCCTTCCGATCTACTTCCAATAAAAAGGAAACAAGTTCCCAGTTTCCAGTAAAACGTGTGACTTTTGGGCCAGGCTTTGCATTTCTGACCATGAGCACTCCTAGCCGCATCAGACTTCTGCAAACGGAAGTCACTCATATTTTTCCTTTTCCGCCAACTTTGCTGGGAAGTGAATGTTTTGCAAGGATGAAGCTACCGTAAAATAATTTTCTCCAGCCCGTTTCTGCTGCACAGTCCCTGGGGCTGTACCTATCAGTCTGCAAAACCAACCATGGCCAAAGAACGGCGTTGCCCTGCCAAGCCCACACTGCCTGGGATAATCCCCCTAGATAAAGATCACAATAACCCTATTCAGCTCCCACCCACTTGCTCATGACCATCGGCCCACCCTGCTTTCTCTCCTAAAACCAGAGAGAAAGTCAGGCTTTGCGGGCACCCGAGGGCTGTGGAGCCAGCCTTCGCCGGGCAGGGGACGAGTGGCGAGGTGGTGGCGGTGCCAGCTGCACGCTGGAGGGATCTTCAACCGCTGGAGCGAGAAGCCAGAGGAGGCCAGGCCCTCCCGAGCAGAGAGGCGAGGGCCAGGTGGATGAGCCAAATTCGCTGAATTTGCCCCAGGCAATGGTGCAAGAATTGATCATAAATTTTTCACTGGATTTGCTCTTTTTTTCTGGAAAATTGGTGTGTTTTTTCAACCAGGGAGAAAAATGATAGAATGAGTCTGCTTTGCTTAAAAATTTGGGTGTTTTCTTTGGTAAGCCCATTCCCCCTGCCAAAACTGAATCTTTGTTCCTATTCATGCTTATTTGGGGCTGAAAAAGAAACGCGCTGGAGTTTCTGACAAAAAGTCAAAATTTCCCACGGGAACGTTTTTCGCCAGCCAGATCTAATTTTTCTTTATCACTTCTTGCTGCCTGCAAGAGCCCAGGCACCGTGCAGGGCCTGGCCCAAGGAGATGTTCTCCAGGGACCTGCTCCTGCAGAAGGAGCCCGGCCAGCAGAGCTTTGCACAGATTCAGGTTCCCATCAGCTTCACCTGGCAAATAACTCATCCACGTAGAGCTTGGCCTTGCAGTCCGGCTTTGGCCAGGCGCCTGGGAGCTAACATGCTCCAGGGAGGACACAGCCTGGAGACAAGCTTGGAGGTCTGTTCTCCATCCTCCCTCTCTCCAGCGCCGGCGGGCCGGCTCCATTTGCGCAGCATCGGTCCAGCCCAAGCCCCCCCCGTGTCTCCAACCAAGTTTGTCCTGATGAAGCTTCCAGCTCCCCTGTGAGAGCAGATCGCAGCTGGAAAAAGCCTGAACTAAAATATCATCAGAGCTCAACTGCTGGTGAGCTTGTGCGGACACAGGAAAACGCAGGCAGGAGCTTCGACCAGATTTAGCAACATCAATAAAATGCAGTCAACACCATTTCACAATTTCTCACGAATGGTGGTGTTCTTTTGAGTGCTGGAAATGAACACGGGCAAGCACTGCTTTTGAAAACTCCCTTCAGCTTGTATAAAATACCTTTGCATTTGCCTTGGCCGGAGAAAGCGCTACTAGACAAACCCAGGCTGCGGCTCGCTGACAGTTCTTTGAGAACAAGCTCCAGACTCCGTTCCCGGTGCCGGCGCCGGGGCTCCGCAGCCCTTTCCCCGCGGGGCCGGGAGATGCGCCCGGCACCTGCACGTGCGCCTGACGTCAGGGGTGTTTGCAGGTGCCGGGCGCCTCTCTCATTTTGGCCCCGTGCGATGCCGAGAGAGCGTTTAACAATAACAAGTGCGATCGCAATGGGAGAAAGGAAACACACTGTGTTTTCAGATACAGGATTTGGCACAAGCCGCGCGCGAAGCCGGGTGTTAGGCAGGCTCTGCTCCGCGGTGTGCGCTGCAGTAGGGTTCCCAGGCTGGGATGTGTCTCACGTCAGAGCAATTCGCGAGCAAGTCTCTCCTCCAGCGAAAAGAAAACTTCATCTCAAACAAGGAGGGGACTGGGAACTACTAGAGAACAGCCTGCCAAATGCTCCCGATGAAAAACTTCCTTCCAGACAAACCTGGGGCTTTATCATCTCGGTGGCGGTCCAGGGAGGTATTTGCAGGGCAGTGCTCACTAAAACAGCTGCTGGGCTCCCCTCCGTCCTCGTCACAACCAGGGAAATCAAACCCTTCCACAGCAGCGAGCTTGTCTCGCCCTGGTCCTGCAGAGTAAGGACCGTAGGATTTCCTCAGGGAGCTCCTGGTGTCCCTTATTAAATTTAGGTGATCCCTTTTCTTTAGCCTGCATTAATCATCTCCACCTGAAAAGCCTTCGCGGTTCTCGTCCTGTCTGTAACCGTTTTCCCCAGGGTCAGCTCCGTGGGGCATTGGGCAGTCCTACGGGATGATTCCTTCCCATTCCCCTTGGTCTCTGAACGGGACAAGGAGTCAAGCTGGTGACTGATGGCTTCGGGTCCACCGGTGTGTGCCTGCAGAGGTTGCTCGCTGGGTGAGCAGCCCCCGATGCCTGTCTGCAGGGTCAAAGCAGGGGAGTCAGGGCAAGTCCCGGGGCCACCGATGGGTGACAATGGCTCACAGTGGCTGAGATCCATCGGGCCAGCAAGGAGTGCGCTGGTGGGAGATGTCCTTT